TGAACTAAATTTAAAGATTTCAAAAGATGACCTATTAATGTAATACTACAGCGGTCTAGTATCCCACTGTCTGATTATCAAAGCTCAAAATTTACCAATATACCAAATAAATTACAGTAATTTTCAACTGTAATACAACTTTAAAAAATAATATGGCACTTCTCTTCCTATGAAAGCATCAATACTTTAATTTCTTTATTCAGAAAAACAACAATTTTTCCAAATATATTCTGGATAAAGGTACTATTATAAAAACAAAAATCCACTACACCTCTATACTGGTTATACAGTGGCTAAATCACTTAACGGCTTGGTGAGTTTTTTGGAGGGTAGGAGTATTGCAGCCAATTTAATGCTTTTGTTTTCAATTTTTTTATTATTTAAAGATTATAAAATAATATATATTATTTAAAAATGTATTAACAGCACAAAAGAGTATAAGGTAAAATGTGAAAGTTCCCCCTCCAGTCAAATCCCAGTTAATCTCTTGAGGTTAAGGTCTGTTGTTTCATATATGTCCTTCAGAAATATGCATATATAAAACATGCTCATGCTTACATCCAGTTTAACATAAAATCATACCATGCAAATCATAATTTTTAATTGTTTTAATTAATGTAAGTTGGACATCTTTGCATAGATGTACATGCCAATATATCTCCTTTTTACATATCTTTTAACATAATCAGTCCCCTATTGAAGACTGTTTTGTGCTTTTTTGATATTACAAATTTTCTAGTACAAACACCTATAATAGCAAAAACACTGAACAGTCTTCAATAAGGAGTAGGTTCAATACATTTAAATGAAATTCTGTGTCAAGGGAACTGCATTTTAAATTTTGTTAAACACAGCCAAGCTAAGTTTCAAAAATGTACCTCTAATCTACCATCCCACCAAAACTGGTTTTTGTTATTTTATGCATAAACTGTATTTGCTAAATGTGGTTTCATTTCCCATAAATAATTATTTAATATGAGTAACCTCTAGATTTTGTGTTTTAAAATATATTAACCTAAAGAGAGCATCACAATGTAAACTGCAGGAAGTAATTGTAACAAATGTGGACTTTTCCACTCAACGGTATAATGAGGCTGGAAAGATTGCAGAGGGGTCAACAGGCTTTCCTCCAACATTAGGCAAATTACACCTAACTTTTCCCTCCTACTCTTATGTAATCATAACTTTCCTACTCAGTAGAAATTCTCTCAGTTAACTTGCACATGGCACTTCCACTTACATATTCATTCAAAAGGAAAGTGAAGATAATATTCACAAAATTCTAAATGGTTAGTACATTTATAAATGGAGAACTTGGCAGGCAAATGCCAGGAAAGGGGCATCTACTTGAGGTTGCTAACTTCAGTTATAGCTTTAGAAATTAATAAGGCATCATATCCTTGGTTACTGTCAGTAAGTTAACTGATGCTTCAATCTAGTGTAAAATGCTGGGAGAAAGACTATGAAATCTGCATCATCAACTATCAATAATGTTTGCAAAAATAAAGGAGAATGATTGTACTTAATTCAGATGTGTGTAATTTAATTTTTGTAGAATCAAATTGTTAAGTATGCCTGTGGATGGTGTATGGCAGACACAGCAGACAGCAAAACATAAACATATCCTGAGAATGACCCTGTATGGCAGACACACCTCAATGTAGGTTCGGTCTTCCCATCATGGCCAACCCAGAGATTCATCCTTATCTATGAGAACATCTGAGCCCCATCCCATCCTGTGGAACGTGGGCCTTACAGAAGATTGAGGTCCTTTGTTTTGGGTCAAATGAAGGTTGCCAGATGGAGGTTGCTAGGGGGAGGGTGTTAAGTGCAAGCACTATCTAAACTGCATGCTTTCTGCACATGGTGGCACTTCTCCTGTCCAGCCCACTGCCACTGTACTGCTCTGTACATAAGTTCCCTTCAACAAACCCAGTATCTCATTTGCTGGCTCTGGGTCTCTATTTGGCCTCTTGAACCTGGTGCCATCCATACTGAAGTGAATGGGGTCCGGCATGACAGACATTTACAGTTTTGTTACCATTAAAATTTGATCTTTCGGTGAAGTTAAAATTTTTACAAATTGTAACATAATTTAATAAATTAAAGTCTTGCTTTTTGAATATTTCAATTTACTGATTTCCAGTCCACTAATAATTCTACTGTATTCTTTCTTAAACACCTGTTTTTTTAAACGATTATCCAAAATAAGTTTCCAGTAGTTACAATGTTCCAAAATAATATCCATTGGAACCTCTAAAATGAAGTCTCATCTGTGAAGTTATTGATGTGGAATAATAGTGAAATTTAACAGTTATACAGGAAAAATAAAAATTCTTTATCATAACCAAAATTTGAAACTATCTTTATCATACACTCCCCATCAGTAATTACTGTAAATTTTTCAGTACTGGAATTTAAAAGACACATATTGTATCTTAGAGTAAAGCTTGAGACCAACCAATGGCAAAGCTATGATTACATTATATATTGTTTATTTGATGGTTCTATTTATGAATGTTTATGGGATATGAAAGTTTCTATATTAAAGGAAATTTCAATATGAAACATTGTAATTAACCATTGGGTACTTCCTGTCTTCAATATTCTCATAACTCATAACTTGCCCAACCCAAATCTCACGAACATGCTGAGACACTCTAAAATTTCTACCCACCACATGCCCTTTCACATGATCTTTGATGCATATCATGATCTATGATACAGTGACTTTCAATAAGCCATATAACAAGTCAATCTTTTTATTTTATAGTCCTTTTCTTCTTCAGTTTTCTTCTTGTCCCATTAAGATATAAACTTTGGCATTCTTTTCCAATCTTATTACTGCAACTATCTTTTTTTAAAAAAAAAATTATAGAATATTCTATGTCTTAACTTCTCTCCCAAGGTCAATATGTAATATAGGTCCTATTCTGTATTTCCAACTGGTCATAGGCACCTGCATATCCCATCAATCCCTTACACACAGGTCTCAAAGTAGATTCATTATCTTTCTTCCCAAAGCTATTATTCCTCCTGTGCTTCTTTAAAGGCACCCGGAACTGTGGGCCTGATTTTGCCTCCCCTTTAGCCCATACTTAGTGCTGCAGCTCTGATTATTTTCAGAGACTTCTGGCCAGTGGTCTCTGGGAACACGGCAGAGTGAGGGTTTATGGGGTGGGTTTTGTTTTTGTTTTATTTTTTAGCAAGAGAAGTAACTTGGGTATGAACTGAAAACGGACATTACCATTACACAATAACATGTATGTCATGATAATGCCTGACTAAACATCTTCTCTGGCTGAAGCAGCAGTTCCAGATTTTTCACAATTTGTTTCATTTTATGTGAATCGCAGGGCAGGAAAAATATATGAACTCTGAAGACATACAGATATGGACTCAACTCCAGATGTCATCACTTATTTTACTTTTCTCAAGCTCAGATTCCTTACATTTGAAATAATAATAAGCTACCTCATGAGGTTAAGATTAAACAAGGTACACAAAGTACTGATTCTATGTATGCTCTAAATGTGTTAAATGAATTAAAGAATAAATGTTCCTCTACCTGGAATATCTCTTCTCCCAGCTAACTCTTTTTTTTTTTTTTTTTGTCTGAGACAAGATCTCACTGTTGTCCAGATTGGAGTGCAGTGGGGTGATTTCGGCTCACTGCAACAACCTCTTACCTCAGCCTCAGAGTAGCTGGGACCACAGGCGCACACAACCACATCCAGCTAATTTTTTGTATCTTTTGTAGAGACAGGGTTTCATCATGTTGCCCAGGCTGGCCTCGAACTCCTAGGCTCAAGCGATCCTCCTACCTCAGCCTCCCAAAGTGCTAGGATTGCAGGCATGAGCCACCACACCTGGCCCAGCTGTCTACTCACCCTTTAAAACCGGATTGCAACTATCCTTAATTTCCCCAGAATTATGTGTCCCACTTTGTTTCTGAACTTCAGCGCATACCTGTTTATCACACACACTGTAATTACTGATGTCCTGTTGTTCAAGTTATATCCTTGACGTCCAAGTTACATTTTGATAAATTCCTTAAGGATCATGTTTTATTTGACTTTCTACAGCAATTAGTGTAGTTCCTGACAAACAGGAACCACTATTCCCTTCACTATTTCAATAAATGCTGAATGAATATTTTATACACAGCTAACCAAAGGGCTTGTACCATATGCTCTACTAATTTTATTCTAAGAAAGTGTGATGTTCAAATATATTTGAAAAACAGCAGATATTTCAACCATAAACATGTTAATTCTGATTGGGTCATACGTAAAGGCCATGAGAAGAACAAGCATAAATACACCCTCTACATAAAGATAATAGCTCATCCTTACTAAGCATTTATGCTGTGCCATTTACTCTGCTAAGCAATTTACAAGTATTTGATTTAATCCAATGACATAACTCTCTGTGGGTTAAGTTCTATTGTTTGCCTTATTTTACAAGATATGCGGAAACTGAGCACTAGAGAAATTACATAACCTCAGGATCACACAAGTAGTGAGCAGTGGTGCCAGGGTTTCAACCCAGAGTTCCTGACTCTGGAGCCTCTACTCTTAACCACATGAAACAGACTTCTTAGCGGTAACTGGTGCTTCCAAGATGCTTAATGTGGTACTCTGACCCGCAATAAGTGAGTTTCAATGAGAAAAACTTAGGATGGACCAACAGCACATTTTCCCATATTCTATCAAATCGTGAAGACACCAAACTATGAAAGGGTCTACCTGCAAATTAAGTCCTTGAAGACAAGTATATGTATATCCCGGGTTTTCTTCCACACGCTTTCAACAAACTACGCTTTTCCTCTGAACAGAATATCTTAAAAATAAATAAATAAATACAACTTTGGCTTTCTTTTAATATTCACACAGTAATTATTTTTCTATTATGACCTGAAAACCTAAATACTTAAATACAAAGTCATCATTTCCAGGATAGCCAAGAGCCAAGAACTAAAAAAAAAAAAAAAAAAAAATTAAGGCCGCGTTTATAGTTTTGAGGAATGGGGATCCAAACAACACAGTCCACAAGTCATCTTGGACTCTGAAGTGTGCAGAACTGCTACAGTATCTAACCAATCACATGGGGGAGTTGCGGGTACCTTGATACCGACAAGTTAGCTTCAAAGTTCCCTTACACGAGCCTCTAAATCAGCTGAGACCAATTATTGTTAATGCTCTCCGGGGCCGTGTTGAGGACTCCCAACTGGCAATCTGGAACGCTTCTAGAACTTGGTGGGGGGGAGGGGGCTCATATTTCGTGGAGAATGGGGGAGGTGAGCCCTGGATATAGGGATAACTTTTTAACTAGCCTTAATTGGGGTCTTTGCGGCCAGGCTGTAAAGATTCCCGCCACACTAATAAGAATCAGCCACGGCCTTTTAATTGGAACGCCGGAACTCTGCCTTGTTTTACTAATATCTTAATAACACGTTTATATGATGGACATGTTGGTTCCTTGTATTTTAAGACGCGGCCACAAACTGAAGCGATAGCGATCACGTATATGCAGTCCCCCAATCGTCCAAGCCGAATAGGTTGCATGTAGTATCACTCAAAAAACATTCATTACCGTCGGTGTGTTGAGTGGAGAGGGCCAGTGTGCGAATTCATTAATGGAAGTCGCGAGACCTCGAGCGGTTGGAGCCCTGCAACACCCCTCTGCTTGCGTTAAGACAACCTGACCCGACCTCTGGGGAACTGATGCGCAAAATGGCGGTTGCACTTCTGTTCTCCGACCCCGGCGCACAATCCTGAGGAAGGACGTCACGTCACCAGGGCAACGACGCTCCTGCGTAAAGGCCCGGCCCAGTGGAAAATTCAGGGCGTCCCCGCTCTCGCCGCTGGTGCTTCTCCTAGGCCCAGTGCCAGACCAGAGCATGAGCGACTCCCGTCGTCCCTGGCCAGGCAAATGTTGGCCTAAGCTTGGCGCGAAAGAAGCGCGCTATTTCCCTGCTTCCTTTAGGCCAAGCCTGCTGTACGGCAGGGCCCGCCTCCGGAGCGAGCATAGACCGGGGCAGCGAGGCCAGCCGGGCGCCGGCCAGGTCCTGAGCGCGCACGCGCTCTGTTCAGCTCCGGGTGGCGGTCGCCGGAGTTGACGTTAGCCATGGAAACCGAGAGCTGGCCCGGGCGGGGTCACGGTGAGCTTGTTGTTGGGACGCCGCAGCTTTTCTGCCTCCGCATTCGGGCAATAGCCAACCTCCCGGCGGGAACGCCTAGCCCGGGTTTACCTGCAAAAATGCAGTCCCCGGGATGCCTTCGCGTCTTCGCTTCCCTCGGTTGACTTGAGGTACGTTCGTTGTCCGATGTCCACCTTGGGACTTCTTCGGCGCTTTAATGTCCAAGCCTGTGCGGAGAGCCAAGTTGTTCTTGGAGTATTCATTGCCACAAGAAACATGTTTTTCCTTTTTAGTTACAAAACCTGTACGTGCAATTATTGCGCTTAATGAACTCAGTCATTAGAGATAGTAATTCAGTGTGATTTTAACTTTACTTTGAAAGACTACTTTAGTCTGTTGAATTTGTAGCATTTTGTTTCTAAGAGACTCGTACGAAATGGAAAATGGCACACCCGGAGCTGTGTCCCTTAGATAGAACTGTACTCTCACGCCTTATCTCCAGCTAAACTTCTTTTGTCCGAATTGTTCAACTCATGGGCCCCTGAACGTGAAGCGCTCCTTCCCCCACTGATCTCGATCTCTGTCCCCACAACCTCCTGTCTGTCCAGGACCAGAATTTACTCCAGTGAATCGAAAGTTGTTTTTCATGCCGCTGCATTGGTTATCTGCTCCGTATCCATCATTTTTCACTTACTCATTTTTTACTATTTTTAGGTGTTTGTTTTCTTCATTAAATCATTCCTGCAGTTAGAGCAAAGACTATCCTTCATGTTATTTGGTATCCACCGCCACTCACGCCAGATCCCCAAACCTTTAGCATAGCATCCAGTTCAGATGTTGCCTTTTTACAAATTTAACTGTTTGGAGCATCTGTTGGCTACTCCTAAATTTCCTACTTAAAGAGCTGCCTTCTAATTATTAACTGCTGTGGAAAATACCAATCGGGGAACCTTTTCTTTTTCCTTTTTAAGAGCTTTATTGAGATGTAATTTACATTCAGTAGAGTTCACCCATTTACAGAATTGTGCAACCCTTTCCACAGTCAAGTTTAGAACATTTGCATCACCCCAAAAAGAAACTCTTTACCCTCAGCAGTCACCACCTCCCCCATTAACCTTACCCCACCAGCCATAAGCAATTATTAATCTATTTTCCGTCCCCATAAATTTGCTTATTTTGGACATTTCACAAAGATAGGATAATACAATATGTGGCCTTTTGTAACGGGCTTTCACTTAGTGTGTTTTCAAGGTTCAGCCATGTTGTAGAATGTATGAGTACGTCATTCCTTTTTATAGCCTAATTCCACTGTGTGGATATATCACATTTTATCCATTCATTGATGAACATTTGGGTCGTTTTCATTTTTTTGGCTGTTAGTAATATTTCTTCTATGAATGTTTTGTGTACAGATTTTTGTGTATACATACATGTTTTTATTTCTGTTGGGTGTATACCTGAGAGTAGAATTACTGGGTTATATGGTAACTCTAGCCTTTTGAGGAACTGCTAGACTGTTTTCCAAAGGAGCTATATCATTTTACATAACCGCCAGATATGTTTGAGGGTTCTGATTTCTCCACAGTCTCATCAATACTTATTATTGTCTGCCATTTTTATTGTAGCCAGTCAAGAGGATTTGAAATGGTACCTAATTATGGTTTCAACTTGTGTTTTTCTAATGAGTAATGATGTTGAGCATCATTTTATATTTTCTGTGCTTATTAACCGCTTGTATATCATCTTTGGTTAAATGTCTATTCAGATCCTTTGCTCATTTTTTAAAGATTGGATTATTTGACTTCTCGTTATTAAATTGTAAGAGTTCTTTATATAGTCCAGTTGTAAGTCATATATGTATATATATATGATTTGCACAAATTTTCTTCCATCCTATAGGTTGTTTTCACTTTCACAGTGGTGAGGACCTTGTTTTTTAAACACTTTCTCACTTGTTACAGGGTACTGGATACCAATCCCCTCATGCTGGCTTAGCTCTCAAAAGCTTCTCATTTTTACACTTTGTAGATTCCTCTTGGACCCACTTTTCTCCAAAGAACCCTCTTCCCCCAAGTTATCCTTCTAGTTCTCTAGCTTCAAAATGAAATTCCCTTTCATTTGGCAATTGTTAGTCCAAACTGCACCATTTTGTAGCTCCCCCCACCATTTTGCAGACCTTGGTCAAAGTAACACATTCCACGGGAGTTTGGGCTGTGAGAAACATCCTGCCTAACCACCTGACCACAGTGCACAAGAACATCCTTATCATACCCTGCTAAGCAAAGGCCCGACTGAAGGAACATCCCTATCATACCTTGCAACCGGAAAAAAGGGCCAAACCACCTGATCATAGGAACATCTTATCAATATCCTGCCGGGCAGTGAACCAGACAGCCCAGACCCCTTCTGCCCATACCTGTAAGTCCCCAGCCTGTGAACGGCGGTAGGCTCTGGCGTTAAGCTGCTCCCCCATCTCTGCAGGTTTTTGCAATACACCTGTGTTGCTGTAGAGCCCTCCCCACCCCCATCTTTCTTTAACCCCCACCTTCCCTTTTAAGAAAACCTAACAGCAATAGCATGGTATGATTTAAAAACTCATTCTGCCACTGACTGACGTTGTATCTTGGTTAAGTCACTTAATATCACTAGTTCTCAGGTTTTTTTTGTAAAATTAATTAATTTCTTTCTGGTAATTCATGTGAGTAGCAGACTTTCACCTGATACTTGATTTTAAAAGAAAAGTGTTTCAACCCAATTGAATTTGTAGTGGGTGTCAACAAAAATGATGGGACAAGTCTCAATCATTTTGGATTTATTTGCCAAAGTTAAGGACGTGCCCGGGAGACAAGTCTATGCCTTTCTCTGAAGATGATTTTGAGGTGTCCGAATTTAAAGAGGAAAGGGCAGGATATTGAGAAGTACACAATTGTCATGTAAGAGGTAGGTAGGGGCAAATAGTCGTTTATGCCTTTGTCTGGCTCAGTGAATCTGCATTTTTTACATAAGATGACATAAAAGGGGCAGAGGAAAAAATGGGGGGAATCTGCATTTTACGTGAGATAACAGACAAAATGGGGTGGGAAACAATCAGATATGCATTTACGTCTGGTGGGCCGGGGTAACTGCACCTGTAAGCTATCAATTGGCATTGCCATGATGAAATTTTAGCTCACTGGGAATTTCCTTGTGGGCAAAATACAGGGGAAGTGTGTAGCTTTACATCTTGTAGCCATCCTGTTTAGAAACCAAAGAGGGAGACAGATTTGCATGACCCAGTTCCCAGCTTGACTTCTTCCCTTTGGCTAAATGAGTTTGGGGTCCCAAAATTTAATTTCCTTTCACATTTCCCTTCTTTTTTCTGTAAAATCTTTTGGAAAAAGCATTTTAAAAGGAATACGAGTTCCTGGCCTCAGGTTGGTTTTTCCTCCCTTTTTCAAGCTGCTTTCTTACTGCTAGGATGGTTTATTCCTAGCAGTTCAGGTCCCCAGTCTCTAGGAAGGCTCATTCCTAGGAAGTCATGCCCCATGAAGATTAAAAACAACAGGGAGAGGAAGGAAGTAAAAAAGGAAAGGGAAAAAAAGAAAAAATATGTAGGCCAGATTTATAGCAACAAAAGGAAATCACACCTGGAAGCTGGTTCAGGCTATATTACTGCCTTCTCAATTAGAGCAATTTTCTAGGGAATCATTACCCTAGCCCTTTCAGTTGACATATTTACAGGCATATCCCATAACAACACTGTAAGTAGAAACAGGACACAACACAAATTAATATTACTAATATAAGCAATAAGCTTCTGCCACCAAGTTCCCCAGGATCCAAACCCACCACTCAACCAGTTGATTAACGAGGGTTTTGGATCTAACAGGTATCTGGGTTTTCTGGGTTTTCATATCAGTCATAAGTCAGGTTATGTTCTTCAATTCATCTGGAGTATAAACGCAACATTCCATTTTTATGATGGCGCAGGTCCTCCCTTGTGCTGCCATAAGTCTATCTAAAGCCATACAGTTTTGCAGCACAACTTTCCTCATAAGCATGACTTCCTTGGTTATCGAGGAGATACTCATGCAGCTATCATTCAGGACCTTTTGGGTGTAATTCATTAAAGCCTCTATATGCCATATAACATCTTCAATACCTATCTGTGGTACAAAGATTCAAGCTAAGTGGTCATACCATTGAAATACCAAATGTGTCCAACAAGATTGTAAATGAAAAAGGTTTGCTGGTTTTGGCAGGGTCTGAATTACTCTTCCTTGTGCCCAAGCATAACCTAGGGAACATTGTCCTAACCACTCTGGAGGTAACCACGGCCATAAGTTAGTGCCACATAGCCAATATGTCCCATTTGGAGCTAGCCAATAAATACCTGGTCGTTGGCACCCAATGGGTGGCATGCCATTCAATGTCTTGTAATATGATAGTGTGGTCACATCGTTTTCCAGGTATCTTCCCCATATCTCTTGTACTGTTTGGACATAGGTCCTTGGTGTGATTTATTTGCTCCCAGCACAAAGCATTTTGGCTGAGTTGGCCAAATGAAGCGGTGAGCCAGATAAATCAATACCAATTTAAAAGGCCTGTGTTGGCCGGGCGCAGTGTCTCACACCTGTAGTCCCAGCACTTACAGGTGGCTGAGGCGGGCGGATCACGAGGTCAGGAGATCGAGACTATCCTTGCTAACACAGTGAAACCCCGTGTCTACTAAAAATCCAAAAAATTTGCCAGGCGTGCTGGCGGGTGCCTGTGGTCCCAGCTACTCAGGAGGCTGAGGCAGGAAAATGGCGTGAACCCAGGAGGCGGAGTTTGCAGTGAGCTGAGATGGTGCCACTGTACTCTAGCCTGGGCAACAGAGCGAGATTCCACCTCAAAAAAAAATTCCTGTGTAACAAATAATTGTTCTTGCTGTACTGTATCCAAATAATTAAGCCAAGTATAATAAAGCAAGCCAGTCCTGCCATGACTTGGCTTTTAATAAATGGGAAACTGGAGAGAGAAAATTATGTTTCAAAAACTGTAGCACACCTGTTGTTAAATTCTAGTCTTGCCTAATGTTTTTCAATTTTTATTATTTTCTACAGTTTAAATTAAATTCTAATTTTTCTGGCTACAAGTTTCTAAATAAGTTGTGCTTTCTTAAAGCCCTATGAACTGAAAACTAGATGTT